ATATATCTGATAAGTACTTAGGAAATAATTTAGATTGAGACTTATACATGAACGTGCAAATTTTAAAAATTATTCTATATTTTATAGGTAGCCAGTGCAAGAGAACAAGATATGGAGATATATGAGAAAAGAAAGGGGCACGAGCAACTAGACGAGCAGCAGAGTTAAAAGCTTTACTTAAAGGATAGAGTATAGAGTCAGGAAGACCATAGTAGAGCGAGTTACAATAATTGAGTAATTGAGTGTTTAGATTTATTAAAACAAATTAATTCAAACTTAGAAGGATTAAGTTTAAGACACATAGAATCAGACCAAGCGATAATCGAAGAAAGACATAGAGATAAATTATGAAGAACACTATTGAGATTAGATGGAGGAAAAGAAGTATAAATATAAGAATCATCAGCATATAGTTGACTAGAGAAAGAAAAGTTATTAATAATACGAGGTAGTTCAGAAGTATAGAGTATAAATAGAAGAGGGCCAAGGATAGAACCCTGAGGTACCCCGAAAGTAAGAGTAGAGGAGTTAGAAGTAGAATTATTGAGAACAACAGAAGAAAAACGATTACAGAGATAAGAAGAGAACCAAGATAGACAAGAATCAGTAATATTATAAGAAAGATGCAGCAGTCTCAAGAGAATAGTATGGTCAACAGTATCAAAAGCTGAAGAAAAGTCAAGAGCAAGAAGAAGAGTAAGATTACTATTGTCACTAGAGAGAAGGATATCATTGTGTATTTTAAGTAAAGAAGTTTCAGTACTGTGAGCAGGTCTGAAACCAGATTGAGATACATGTAGCAAAGAGTTAAAGTCTAAATAGGATGAGAGTTGATTAAAAACTTTTTCTATTATTTTAGAGATGAAAGTAATATTAGTTACAGGTAATATAACTGACAATATAGTGCAATATTTAATATACCAAGTCTTGAAATATCAACAAAAGTTTACTAGAATTTTATAAAAATAAGAAATAAAATCTATTGAAAAGGAATTGTGTGTGTGTCTGTGTGTGTGCGCCTCTGTTTGCTAATTGTTATTAAGAGCCATCGCAACTTGTAAACAACGTATCCACTTGACGGCTTCGTTAGAATTGAAAAACTTGAA